GATTTAAGCTCCTGGGTGTGTATATAGAACCTGATTCACAAGCACGTGGCCTGGTTTTACGTTGAGGTAATTCAGTTAGTTGCAGTGGAGTTACACCGGTTTGAAAATAAAGTAGCGGTAGTGAATCCGGCCCTCGATTAATAGGAGCTTAAAAGGTCATCACTAAGCAAATTTGAGTAAATTAATTAAAGACTAATGTTTGACTGTGTTAGAAGAGCTAGGTCTTCATAATAAGTGTTTGCATGTGTGTGTGATAGTGGGGGTGTGTGTTATATAGGTTGTCTACATAGAGATAATACTGGGCAATTGTCCTTTTTATTCCTGAAAACCCATAAAGTACCAGATATTTATTGTTGCATCAGTAAATCTGAAATAGTCACATCATCTGAACACGGGAAATAGATTAATTTTACCACTACAGCACTAAAAATTTACCACTACAGCAGGGATGGAGAGTATACAGGTCTCATCTTACAGCAGAAATTGGAATAAGTATCAAGGGGCATGCCTACATGTGCACTTTAATGCGTATTAGACTAACGAGCAGTAAAGCATCAGCATCTACACATGTGCCACAATTAGTGCACAGTAGATTAAAGTACTCTGGTGTATGATAGTCACGTCAGACACAGGTACTATCCTATGCAACAGTAAATTACTGCGCTTAAACATGCATGTAGACGGTGATATCAGGATTAGTCTACTGTAGTTCAAATTGAGGCAGAGTGTATTTGGTCAGATTAATTGCTCATGTAGATGTGTCCAGTATTGCATATTTTTCCCAAGTACGTATGCTCATTCCAACTAAAAATCTCCAGGTAAAGTTTTAATATCTTTAATAGGTATTACTTATGCCATGCTATTAGTAAATTGAGTGTTATTTTTAAAATCTGCTATAGTTTAAAACAGTGTTTTTTATCTTCCTCTCACCCCCTTTTCTACTCATGCTGTTCCACTCTCTCAACACATCTAGTTTCCTCTTGTGGACACTTATACTCTTTATCAGTATCTCAGTAATCAAAGTGCAGTTCTACTCTGAAGGGTAAATTGGTCAAAGTATGCTCAGTTTACCCAAAGATAAATGTTTTGCTAACAACCAGATCAGTAAAATCATCCTGAGGTCTTAGAGTCAAAGTGGGGTTTTTCCTTCTCTTATGTCACAAAAGTTTTGAAAGTTAAACAAGTCCCTCAGTGATGCTAGTGTGGTACCACGTAATAAATGCCATTGTGTGGATGTGGCTTATTACATGCTAAATCTTATCCACAGTGGAGGTTTTAACTACTCATGCAGCTAAGCTAATGAACCTGAACCACTGCAAAAGCCTTAGTATAGGTACTTTGCACCATTACTTTCAGTAACACAACTTATTCCAAGTGGCACTATTGGACCATGGATTTACACTAGTGCAGACTGTCTGCATGATTTTCATACATAAGTACAGTTGCATCTGCTTAGCTGTGTCACTGACTGAAAACCTGCACAGACAAGGCCTCAGTCAAAATACTCTGTTTATGGAACACACATAATTGAATCCAGCTCCCTTTCTGTCTATTCCTCAAGGCTGGCAGAGGTGGGGGGAAAACGACAATTCAGTTTTTGTCGCTGATGTCAGTAGAAGCGATTGAATACTTACAAAGTGCAGTTCTGTGAAATGGCATGTTGACAAAAGCCAGTCTTCTACTGCATGGTAGGGGCCTAAGGGAATTAGATGCCTAATTCTGCCTGATTTTAATCTCAACTCTCGCTTTGGCGTTTTCAGTCAAAGCTTCTTTTGATGTCATTGGGAGTTTTGCCTCAAATTTACAGGATGCAGATTAAAAAATGTTGGGGGTTTACCAAACATGGTAGAATTTATGCAACTCTTGAGAAAAGCCACTTTTCCAATAAAAATTGTACATATAAGTATTCTCCTTCTAATTATCCTTCTTTTGTTCTTGTTTTGTTGTGTTTAATTTCTGTGCTATACCTGTGGTTATAGTTCTGTCAGTCTTTTTGGAAGCAATGTTTTTTATAGCAAGAATGCCCTCTTCTTTGACTTTACTGCTAGAAATACCATGACCCAGCATCCTCTTTGCCTTCTTTATTGCAGCTGCATATGGGGCTGAAGGCTATAGGGACTTTCATGCAATAATACCTAAATCTTTTTCCCGTAAGTATACAGTTCACTGTCTCTTCACTGCAGAGCATGTCCATCCATAAATTTTTTTTGTCACTTCACTTATCAGTAATTCATCCTTGTCTGTCTGTATTACATAAGGACTTAGCTGTTTAATACAGTCTGTTTTTCACATACTTTTTTCTGTTTGTTTGGTAGCCATGAATGTTTTAAAAGTTTCTGTTGGCAAATTTCCTTATAGACTATGGTTTGTAACTCTTGAATAGGTGTCATTTGTTTAAACAAAAACAGTTACTTTTTTACAAGGAAGAAAAAGCTTGGTGCCTGGTTGAAAACAATCATGGAACAGACAGTACATTATTATTGTTTATGAAGTGAACAATATTGATGTCTGTAGCAGAATTGACCAAGTGCACATTGCAAATGAGTGCTTCCTGACTGCCACTGAATTCAGAAGAAACTAGTAATCACTTCTGATTAGCCAGTCACATAAGTTTATGCAAATATTTGTTTCATAAATCACTGACAGGTGACTGTTAGTTTTTCCTAGACCTCTGAGTTGCTCTCGAGAGTAGATGTTTGAAAACAAACACTGATATTCATAACTCACCTATTTTGAGATTAGTTTACATACCTAGAAAAAATACAATAGTTAAAAAATATATACAAAAATGCTAGAATGAGAATATGGATTTACAAAAGACTTTCAACAGACCAGCCCTATAATCTAAACTTTATCATCCTCAGAGCCTGTATCCAGGGCAGTATATTATTTGGGCCAGATATTGTTAAGGAAATTGTTCAATCCCATTGAAACCAGTTGCCTTCGGTGAGGTTGCTGAGGACAGCAAAATTCAGTGTGTTGCAAACTGATTTCTTGTGTAGATGCACATCATGACCTACGTTTGGGGCAAATACTGCCCTCTTTCTGTATTTCATTATCATTTCTGTCTCCTGAAATTATTTAAAAGAAAAAAATGAAATTATGACTTTTTACATGAAATCATTCTTCTATAAAGTAAAGATCTTGACCCTGGATTAAGAGACACTGGGCATGTCTACACAAGACACTAACTGCGCAGTAGCCTAATAATACTTTGCAGTAGTGTGTCAGAGCACAAACAGTGCTAATATACTACTGGGCAGTATTATTAGGCTACTGCACAGTAGCATCACTAAAAAGGCATGTGCCGGTGCTACTGCACAGTAACACTGGTTACTGTGCATTAATTAGGTATGTGCTTATACAGATACTAAATTTAATGTGCAGTAACTACGGCACATTAATGAACATGTAGATGTGCCTCATGGGTATGTACAGACATTACACATAGATCGACCTAACTCAGTTTAGGTCTAAATGACAAACTAATTATACATTTGGGGAGTTTAGATTGGGCAAAAAATGGCCTGCCCATTCTAACACAGCTCACCTAAGGAGGCGCAGTATGTAGACTGGGCTAATTCATATCCAATCTAACCAAATGTATGTACACATTTGGAGTGCATCCCCAGGGCTTGGAAAGCCAAGCACTTGCCCCAGCCTCTGGGCTGCACTTTTCCTACCCACCCTGACCAGACTAACCATCTGGCCCCCACATCCTCAGACAGACAACTCTGCCCGTCTCCCCTCCCGTCCCCACCCACAGACTCACCTTCTAGCCCTACTCTGATCTTGCTTGCCCCTCCCCCAACCGTGGCTTAAATTGCATTCCCAATGCACAAGTGGGGGGCCAACCTATGATCACACAGTTTAAAGCAAGGTGCATGAATATGTGCACATGCCTACTAATTATATGTTCAAAAAGTTGTTTTTTTTCCTTATTTCCTTGTAAAGGGAACAGGATTGATATATGGAATTGTAATGGAATAAAACTCTTCCAAGGACTGTTTCACATGTTTTATGTGTTCATATAACATACCACCTTCAGCAGCTTTCACAGGCAGGATTTATACCTATAGCTTAGTCATTTGTAGAAAAATAATTCAAAACATCTTTTTTTTACCTGCTTTTCTGGCATAAATATAAGGTTTCATATTAATTAAAAAAAAGGGAAAAAAATGAAAGCTGTTTTAGATGTAATTCTGTTAAGGGACTATAATGCAAGTGATTCTCACATACTTAGGTTGCAGGGTGATGAAATTACTATGTCGTAAGCATGGGACCACTCATTTCTGGCCCCTGTAGAAACTATATTGAATCCTATAGAAATCCCACTCCTTCATCCTGACATGTCACCTTTTCACCATTTACCCCTGGTTCTAGAAACAGTCTTCTGTTACCAGTCATGCTGTCCCCGGAGCTTGGTTCCTACTCCTGTATCTCAGTCACCAGTCCTGATGGCCTTAGCTTGCTTCTTCACCAGAGTCCTAGTTCTCTTGCTTAACACTTCTTTGCCATCTCCTTCCATAGTGACAAAAATTATCAACTTCCTCACAACAAGGGATGTCTTGGTAAGGCTGTCATGGCAGAGTGGAAATATTGTATCCATTCCCTTTCATGGGTACTGGTTTCCATTCTTCAATGCCTGACAAATCCAAAAGATATGGATTCAGTATAATGTCATTCTAGGTAATATCTGCTTTGACAATCCAGATGTTACAATGGCATAAATCTGAAAGGGGTCTTGAAGAGATGTTTTAAATGCATTCAGGTGCCTAACACCCCATCATGTCTTGTCTTACTCGTGTACCCACAGCCCACAGTTCCATATGCCATCACTCTTACTGTGTTGCCCATGTAAACATTGCCATACCTGCAGCTTCTGTTGTTTAGGTATATTGTACATTTTGTTTAGAAGTTATCTCCTTTGATTTGATTGTTTTTGCCACTGTGTTTGTTTTGTAACAAAACTGAGGGGCCTCCTGTATTGTTTTTTTCAGCCAGTAATATTAAAATAGAGACTCAGAGTGATGAAGAGAATGGGCGTGCCTGTGAATTGAATGGGGAAGAATGTGCGGAGGATTTACGAATGCTTGATGCCTCTGGAGAGAAAATGAATGGCTCACACAATGGCCCAGGCAGCAAAGCTATGTCAGGAGTTGGAGGCATTCGACTTCCTAACGGAAAGCTAAAATGTGATATCTGTGGGATAATTTGCATCGGTCCCAATGTGCTCATGGTTCACAAACGAAGCCACACTGGTAAGGCCTGGCACAGTTTTTCCTTTAGCAGCCAAGAAATGGCCACATGTATAGGAAATGATTTATTTTCTCTGAGTGTCATGTGCATGTTCCCATCTATACAGCAATGCAACATCCTTAGACGTGTGAAACTGTGCTGTTGAATCATTCTAGTTTGAACTGGAGTGAAAAGCAAGATTCCTTTTAAAATTGATCAGCTCCACCTTATAAAGCTAAAAACTGAAAAGGAGTCCATGGATTAAATAAGAATTCATCTTATAACCAATATGAGACATATCTAAAAGTACTACTTGCTCCTTCCTGCCATTAACAGTGGTAAATAGTCCTAATTATAGACATGGACTCCAAGGGCGATGCTTAAACTAGCTTAAGTTGCTGGAATTTTTTTTTAATTTTGACAAAAAATAGACAACAATCTTCTAAATACGTTTGCAAAAAATTTCCACCATTTCTTTTACCAGCTCTAAATTTATCACATTTCTGATATTTTCAACAATGCAACAGTTTCATGTCGTAGACACAAATAAAGTGTATTAAAAATAAGAATATTAAAAAGACATTCAGATCATAAATTCAGAAAGAAAACAGAGTTGATTCTATAGGAAATACTTTCTAAAATAAATTTAGGAAGAATTGTCATCCATAAATGCAACTGTGGAGAAGTTTCATAGGGACTGCAAAGAGGTATGTTGAGGATGGTATGTTCTACAAATGGTAATTTTTCATTATAACATCATTGAAGTTCTTCTGCCAGGGTTATGTAATTCTCAACAGCCTCAAAGACTGTTAAGAAGTAAAGATTCTAAAACTAAGCAATTAGCTGGTTATGATCCTTCATTTGACTGCATGTGGTTGCACCTTGAACTCAGTGGGGCTCAGTCAGGTGCAGGATCAGAACCTACTGTTATAGATGAGGCAAGAATTCAGCTCTAGAGATTCCTGTCACCATGAGAATGATAATTGCTGCTTCTTAACAAAACAGGGATGTTAAAATTGTGTATAAATACAAGGAGGGAAAGGAATTACTTATGGTAAGAATGATGTAACCAAAATATTAAAGCCTGACTTTAGTAAGTATGACTAGAGATACTAGGTAACTAATGGAACAGTTTGCTAAGGACTCTATTGAAGTAACTTCCTGAGAGACATTCGGGGCAGGCTAAATGAAATGCTTGTGGGTTTAATGCAGGAAATAGTGAAGCCATTAATTGGGGAGGTGGCTGGAAATGGCACAGAAGAGCCTTTCCAAATTGAGCTTCTATCATTTCAAAGGCACTTGACCAAGATAAAGGTGGGGTCACCATCCCGCAGCTTAATCCTGATTAGCAGCAATCCAGAGTGATCTTGTTGATGGTTAAAAGTAGTGCAGTGCTTGCCTTTTCAAATACTTCAGTGAAACAGTGTATTGCAAACACTGTTCAGTGAAATTAAACACAACGTACTCTCCCGTCAGGGCACAGCAGATGTTACCTATCTTTCATTGGAAAAGCAACGAATATTCTTGGAAGCATGAGGCTGCACTGTACTTCATAGATATAGGAAAGCATGTTTTTTTTTCTGTTTAATTAAGTGTTTAAGTGTGATTCTTTAAGAGTTAATAAAATATCCATCAGGAAAATGACCTGCATATTGAGGTCTTTTAACAGGCAATTTGGCCCAATATATTATGATATAAAGACAGCAGTGCAGTATTAATTGAAACAGTTGCTACTGATTGTGGTATTTGGAAACAGAAGGGCAGTCTGTTATTTAACAAGGAGCTATTTTTATTCAAGTATGGTCTGAAAGTAGAATTGGGTTCTCCTTGGGATTTTTTTTCCTTTCAGTTATTTCTTTGGTCATCTTAAAACTTCTGTTTGTAAGATAAAGCTAATGGAATTATAAAGTTAATTTATATGTTTAAGAGCTGATCCAATGAAAGTGTGCGTGCATGCGTGTGGGTGTGTGTGGGTGGTGGAGATACAGTTCAAAACCAGAAAGCTAAAAGTCCATGGAAAAACAGGTTCTCAGTTGTGTGAAATTCCCTCTGTGCTGAAGGAGGCCTAGTCACATGGAAATCCCACTTAACCCTTCCAAATAGAGCATCAACAAGATTTACACAGGCCTTGTACAGTCCCACTGTAATGTTCTGGGGTGATTGCAGCAGAATGGCAGGCAAATGTCTAATCACTTAATAGTGTGGAGGGGGCAAACTGTGTATGGTTGTGATATACGGGGAAGAGTGGTGGGGGCCCCTTTTTCTCCCAAGTGTTCTTATGTCACTAACAAAGATATTTTGGCTCCTAGTTGAGCGGGAGTGGAGATGGGGGGTATTGCTTATGGCCAGGATGAGTAACCCAAGTGAGGGTCTGGTTTGGCTAAGATGAGGGTGTGAACATGACTCTCCTTGACCCCAATTATACCAGACAGTGCCTGGAGACTTGTGGTACATAGCTGCATGTTATTTCTTTCTAACAGACTATCTGCAATTACTCCCTAGTACTAGGACCCTTGAAAACAAGACTGCTTTTACTGTACCACAGACTGCCATGTTATGCCTTGACATGTCATTTACATGGTTGAAAAGTGCACATATAACATGACCAAACTAGGTTGGCCACTTTGTGCTCTCCTTCGCAGAGGTGTTAGTGAATCCAGAGCATGAAAGGGAAACAGACCATTATGTGCCAGTCCCCCACAAGCTCCCAGCTGAGTGTCACTCCTCAGCACACCCCTGCTGGCGAGTGGGAGGGGGAGCCGAACCAGAAAACAAAGTATATGACATAGGAGGCAATGTGGAAAACACTATACAAGTTTTCACTCAGGTGAAGCCACCATTTTTCTTTTTAATGAAAGAATGTTCTGAGAATGAATTCTTTTAATCCTCCTTTGGGAGATGACACTATGGTTTTCTGTAGAGCCTGATCTTGGACTCCTTTTGTAAGTCTCCTGCTGAAGTCAGTAGGAATCCTACTTGCCCAGGGACAGGTGTCAAAGCTCAGGTTCAGAGCCTGGGAGTCTAAATTGAAGGGCTGTCTTAGGGATACAGCAGTCACCCTTTTCCCTTTGACTTGTGCTGTGAGAATTAAAGTAGAAATGGGATACACTGTTAGAGACATTTAACTGACTCTGCTGAAGCCCATTTCAATGCATGCCTGATGAAGGAATAAGCCTTGCAAATGAATTACTTGCCTGCTAATTCATGTAAAACCTGTGTATGCACTGAAGTTCTCTTAAATAAATATTTGATAAATGAATAAAACTCTGGCACACTAAAATGCCAAAATATAATGGCTGCCTGGCCTGATAAAAGGTATAATTATGTTTAATGAATACGCCTGCCAAGTGCAGATATGCAGAGGAGCACCTGATATTTTCTACCCAGCCCCATCTGTTCTAAGTAGCTCTAAAACACCAGCCATTCACTAGTATTTTTGCCTGCCTCTCCTTATTGAAGAAGAGAACTCCATTCATAAATATCTTCTCCCCAGTCTCTTAGTTGATTGCTGGTATTCAGTCTAACTCTGAGGTTAAACATTAGGAGAAGGAACATTTGAAAGGGAAAACTCATAGTTGCTGATTTTGAGATGTCAGACATCTTCTGTATAGATTCATGCTTACCTGGCTTAGCTGTGTTTTTTATCTGTGCTATCTGTGCTCCACTGGGACCCAGCCCTAGCCCCTTTGATTCTGCTGTGTGGTCACCTGGTCCTCAGAGATAGATTGGTACCTGCTGCCTGCTGTAATCAGGAGGAGTTAGGCACCTAAGTGCTTTTGAGAATCTGGACCTCCATATCTCTCTAGTTAGGCATCAGACACTTGTAGCCATTATCAAATCTGTTGCCCACTGCAACAGTATAGTTCCAGAGTTCACTGTGACTCTCCATACAGGGTAACACAGTACATTAATGCACTGGATAGTCTCCTGTCAGGACCTAGATTTAAAATCTTTGCTAGGGTCCCAAAAGGTAGAGGCCCTTTCTGTCAAAAAAATCCTCATTTTTTCAAGCTCATGAAAACAACACATGTCCTGTTCTTGAAAAAAGTCAAGCACCTGCAATGCTTCTGAAAGCTGAATGTGTCCCACCCCCTCAGGATCATTTCCATGTCACACAATTTGGAGTTAGACCTTTAGAGAGGGCCATTGTTGCAGGTCAGAATTGCACCTGACTGGGCCTGTTTGGGGAAGGTGAATTAGCACTTATGTACATGATAGCTGGTTTATTCCAGTGGAGAGAGGATAAAACTAAGCATGTATGAGAGTGTGAGAGGTGCATATGTGTGCGCAGTAAGAAATACTTTACTGAAGGGGGATGAAAAGGTTGCAAATAAGATGCTAAACCTTTCTCACAGGGGAAGACTGTGAAAGCCTACACAAGGCCTATGCTACAGAGTCCTCTCTTTCTGGATCTCTGCATGGGGTGAAAGCTACCCAGAAAGAGTACTGCTCGGAAAGGCAGGAAATCAGATAGCAACTGTTAGACCAGATTACTCAAGTAAAAAAAGACTGATTTTACTTTGGGAACTAGGGGGACTATCGTGTTGTTTCTTCTTGGTAGGGAGATGATTAGCCTTGGCCCATGATATATCCGGATGCATTCCAGATGTGACCGGTTTCCTTAGGAAAGCAGTTTGGTCTGTTAGGTGCCATATAAAGCACATGTCCAACAATGATAGAATGAACAACCTAAGGATGTGAATAAAATAGGCGTTCACTGCTGGTGTATTTTCAGCAGTCATCATATAGTGAGTCAGGTATTGGTTCCCCAATATTTCATCCCATGTTGAGCTTTGTAGCATTATACAACATGCAACAGTCTCATTTCAAATACTCCATCTGTCTGCCTTTTCCGCCCAACCTAAAGTTTCACCCTGTAATTATGAGAGCTGTAGGCTGGAGATACATTTCATTCTTACTCTGCACATATACCCCTGCATACTTTTATCCTGATTTGATCCTCTGAGTAAACCTAATTGAAATGCTGCTTAGTAAAAAATAACCATTTCCTCTGTATTTGTGACCATCAGTGAGAACTGCCTTCTCAGTCATTGTTTCATTCCACCTCCAAAAATATCTCATATATTAACTGTCACCAAAATTGGGAGAATATAACTAAACCAAAAACATACTCCCAAAGAACAGCTCAGTTGTTTGCAACTTCTTCAGTAAACGGCTTCTTCTCAAGAGGTCATAATGTAAAACCCAGTGGGGTTCTCTTCTCATTCTTATATGAGGCTATCTACCACTTTAAAGTGGATGAGGATTTTAGCTCTCAAAGTTTTAAGTAAATACAGGAGCTCATTTCCTTGAAGTTGAAACAGGTTCTTGACCTATTTTAGGATGTTTGGTCAGTCAAGTTACCTTTCTACACAATATCCTAACATTAACACCTCTTTATCATGTTAGTGGTGGCTCTGATTACAGTTGTCCATCACAGTGATCATGCTACTGCTTTATCTGCTTGGTTCTCAGCTTTCCAACCACATTACTCAATAGTGAGAATGGTTATAGCTTAATTTTGATATTGACACATAGATGCATACCCAAGCTAGTTATTCCTAAGTACATCCTAAAAGACATCCATGTGGTTGGAAAGAAAATTGTATAGCTTGTGTAATATTTGTAAACAAGTGCAGTTCTTTTGCTCTGGATAATATTTTTCTTTTTTTCTTCTTTTTTTTTTTTTACAAAAAATAAAACTAATGCTAAAATCCTGGATAACATATCCAAATTTTAGCTTAGATGTTTAAGAGAAACAGAAATCAGCAAATGAGTTTCAAAGACTGGTTTGACTTAAGAGTTAGGGACTATTTCCTATGGCAAATAGAATGCTGGAAAGTGGGGCATGATGTACAGGATTTTTTTCCTATGTAAATTGGTGCACCCATTTAGTACAACTCAAAATGCAGCATTTACCAGAAATGCAAAAATCAAGTACCTCAAACCAAAAGACCATATCAACTTCAAAGGGCAACAAGAAGGGAAGAAAATACAAAACAAAGCCTTATTTAAATCTTTATATTGGCAATCTGACTTACTCACTTGATAATATGTAGCAATTTAGACAAATAATGGCTGGGTTCCTTAAAGGGTTTTTTTTCCCCTCTCTGAAGTGGAGAAAAGCAGCGCCCATTAATACAACTCCTACGTTCATATCCTGCCTAGAGAAGGGTCAGGACTTTTGTATGGAAGGTACAGGGTTTCCTTTGCACTGTCTTAACTTATTTTATTTCTCTCTCTCTCTCTCTCTCTCTCTTTCTCTCTCTCTCTCTTTCTGTCTCTTTCCTGATTTGGCTGGTTAGGGACAGACAGGTAATGGAGAAGAAATTGAAAGGGAAAATACAGGGAAAATGTAAATGAAAAGAAGTTATTATAACTGTTATAATGAAGTGCCTTTCATTTAAATATAAGAATGTAACGCTGAAATGAACTTGTGATCCTGAAATGCATTTTTAATGAGTTTCCTTTTTATTTTGCTGCTTCAGTGGCATATTTTAAAGACCCTTTGAAAAAAGCCACATTAAAAACCCCACCAAATGCCACAACATGCAAAATTGGATATTGGTTTATTCCAAAACTGCTGATCAGGAAGAGTGGCTCTTCAACACAAAATGTTGCAGTCACTTTATTTAAATGAGTTTGAATTTGCATTGTGATGTGCCATTCTGATTTAGGGGAAAAAAATTAGATTTTCAGATCAAATTGACCCAGCCAGTGAAGCGTTAAGAAACTGGCAGGTTTAGTCTGAAAGCCTCATGTTATATCAAACCTGCAGCCGGTGGAAGTCAGAGCACTAGTGGGAAAACAACTTTCTCACTGAAATCTTTCTCTTGTTACTATGTAAGATTTTTTGTTCTCACAAATTTCTCCTTCTCCTCCACTCAGGGGAACGCCCTTTCCAGTGCAGCCAGTGTGGAGCCTCCTTTACTCAGAAAGGCAACCTCCTCCGTCACATAAAACTTCACTCAGGTGAAAAGCCCTTCAAATGCCACTTGTGCAACTATGCTTGCCGTCGCAGGGATGCCCTCACTGGTCACCTGAGGACTCACTCGGGTAAGTTACCACACTGGAGCACTTCAGCAGTTCCGAGGCAAAATATCTTTTGTTCTGGGCTGAGTCCTGAATTGTGAATGTGCTCACTGCCATCCAGTCTACTTCATTCAGGATGCAGGTCCTCTTATGTTGAACCTGTGACTTGAACAAGAAATGATTGGCTGCCATGTTTTAGCTCTGTGAGAGTTACTAAACTGCTTACTTTGGTGACCCCCCAAAAACGCATTTTTTTCCCTCCTCTTAGCATCAAGTTGGTTGGAAGGTCCCATGTTAGGGTCCCCTTTCATGGGATGATTTGCATGAGTTCAGGTTGCTTGCATTAATTATGGATTTCAGGATGTGAGTGGAATTAGAGAGCCAGTATAAGGCCCGTGACTTAGTAACACTTAGGCTTGGTTCTGGTTCTCTGTATATAGGCTGAACTTACATATAGCGCTCAACATAGAATGTCGGCTGCAAGAGGCACTTTTGTGGGACAAGGAGGCCGCTTCTTTTTAAATATAAGAACTCTTGTAGACAAGTGCAGCTCCATCTATCAGGAGTAATATGAAGATTTATTTTCTAAAATACTCTGACTTCCCAGTGGAAAACAGCCTTCCCAGTGCCTAAAAAAGACCACAGGATCTTGCTCATTTTGAGAAGCAAATCCAGACCCTTGCTCCCAATCCTAAAAGCAAACAGCAACTGTGCTACCTAGGGCCACAGTCTCATCTGAGTTTAGGAATTAAGCTGGAATACTCTCTGTCATTATTTAAGAGAGAGGCTTCACTGCAGGACATAGTTTTAGGAATATACCCTTGAAAGTTAACTCGGGGCTAATGACTTTCTACAGTGGTAGGGGCAATAGAAATGCAGTTGTTATACAAGGAGAAGGTTCTGACAAACCATGTGTAGCTTCTGATGAAAACTGTCAATATACTCTTTTTAACTGTAAGGATGCAAATGTGGGACCAGAAATTAAACACTAACAGTCTTTACTGTGGGGTTTTGGGTGCTTTTTGTATCTGGTCAAGCTTTTTACATCACCCATTCTCATGATACTTCAATGCTTCCATAAGCAAGAAATACAAAGGAAAGTAAATCTAAAAGGATTTAGTATTATCCAAACTGTGTTGAACCTCAGTTTAGAGTTAGCTCATGTTTAGGTAAAGGATTGAGTCAGTTCCCATTTCAGCAGAACCAGTTCACCTCTGTCTAGTGGCAGGGTATCCACACTTCAAAGAATATCCCTTGTTGGCTTTCCTCATTGGCAGTCTCTGCAGAGGTAAATAATTCAAGGATTTAGGCCCAGAATTGTACTGATGCTTTGGTACCCAGTGATAAGCTGCCTAAGTATGTCTAAGGCTCTGGGCTGTAGTGATAGGATTCCCTTCTTGGTCCCCCACATTGTAGCTGAGGCACATTATCCAAGCATGGAGAGGGGGCAGGCTTGCATACCTCCACTTCTTTTTGCACTTGCTCTTTGAACAGACAGACTTAATTACTGAAGACTACCAAACTGGCAACTCCTGACTGCTAAGGATTCTAGAGGATAAGGCGCAAGGTTCTGAAATTCCAGAAATAAGGATCCCAGCATTTCAAGAAGAGTTTCAACCTTGAAAACTCAGGATTTTAACATTATTTGTCCTGGAGTTTTGCAATTATTTTTACATCTAATGAGCAGTTAAAAAGGAAGAAGCAAAATATTTAGATAAATGTTACCAAATTTGCTACTGTGCTTTAATCTATATGGCGCCTCTATGATTCTCTGGTTGAGCTAGTGCTCGCCAGCAGTCACTGCTGTAAAAGAATCTGTTGGATACCGCATTTAACATTAGATATTTGAAGCAATTCCAAAGCAGAACAGAAAATCAACTGGGATCATCAACAACACAAAACATGGTTTGGTAAATGAGCTTCTGCTTCTGGAGATTTAAGGCCACCTTCATCATCCAATGTAAATCAGGGTAGATGCATCAAAATCACTTTAACCAGTTCATGATTTGACCTGGATATTAAAAAGCTTGTAACTGGATTTTCATTGTTTCTTTTAGATTCCCTAAATGTCCTACTTTTTCTGTTGGTCACAGGTGGTCATAACCCTGGCTGATTTCCTGTTATTGTCATTCTTATACTATTGATAATTTAATTTTACTTACTTTCTACATTTTGTTCTCTGCAGTGGGAAAACCTCACAAGTGTGGATATTGTGGCCGGAGCTATAAACAACGCAGCTCTTTAGAAGAGCATAAAGAACGTTGCCACAACTACTTGCAAACCATGAGTCTCTCAGGCAGCCTGTATCCTGGTAAGTGTACAAAGCAGAAAGACCAATCTTGGAACCAGTCATGATTGATTAGTGGTTAGCTGCAAATGTAATTCTCCACAGAGCTGTCCTGGAACTACAGCACCTTAAGATGAAGAGTTGTGGAGCCACTGAACAGATGTTTGGAGATAAAATATCTATTGCACTTGGAGTGATTACTGTATTCAATGACTAGCTGGCATTCTTAGCTTCTTTACAGTCATGTGTAAAAAGCTATTTTGGGGTTGTATGTAGAGACACACAGATAGATTCTGTTCCACTTTTTAGGCATGTAAGTGGACTTAGGCACCAAAGTGCAGTTCTATTCTACCTGATTGAGTCTCTGAAAATCTATTAATACAAAAGGTATGTGAGTCTTCCTCCTTCTCACTGATCTTTTTTGCATGTGACTCAGTCTTAAGGGTTAGAAGATGGTGTGTTACAAACGTAGCTGCATTTATGGATTTGCAGGGACTTGAGCAGGGTGGAGTAGAACCTGGCCTATTTCCTTTAAAATCTAAGTAAACTGCTTTGCGATTTCAGAACTCTTACACTCACCATGATAATGCTTGGGGCAAGGGTTGGTAATAAGTTGGTTTTCTGAGCTTTTTCATTTCTCAACCCAATAAGACAAACAAGGAAAAAAAGATCCTTGTATCTGCCCTACAACGTAGGAGTCAGTACACCCAAGACAGCCTCCGTGGAAAAGGGACCATAAGCAAGCAACTATCAACCTAAATCCAGTGAGGCAGGTATGGCTCATGCCTGTCAGAGACCCAATTTTGGGGTGGATTTTTGCGTGAGGACTAGTTCACTCTGACATTCCATCCCCAGTGTTATAGCCCTGATTCATTCTCCTTGGGAATAATGTGCCAGAGGTTGATTAGGATCTGTGAATAGTTTAATATACCAACAAGATGTAGGGAGCTGATCACAAGGGAAAATTATACAGGATACATTTATATTCAGTGATCTAGGTGCAAAACATGGGCTTAAGCATATGTCAGAATTTAAGGTTAGAGTCTGCCTGGTAAAGCACATTTCTTGTACACCTCTTTTGATCTCGTCAGTATAGATTATTCAGTTTGTCAGATGACAAAAAAGGAAGGTTCTCTCCTTCCTATTTGCAATGATGCCTCATTTAATATTGGATATCCAGACAGAACTTGAATATGTTTTTACATGTTATCAGATAATGTTAAGTATATGCACATAATGATAACACTGAGCTTTTTCTGACAGACAGCATGTTAGAGCGGCGCCCCTTCTAATTTTGTTGAGGGGTGGAGAATGTATAAATAGAAAAGCTGCAGCTAATATACTCACTCAATATTTATTCCATAAAGTGATGATAGGATTTAGAAGCAAATATTCTGTCTGGGATTAAAATTTTCAGTGCCTGGCATAAAGGTTTGAAATGTCTGCATGCAAAATAGGAAAATCTGTATGAGCTTTTCAGCTCCTGGCTGAAAATAAAATGTTAGTAAAGAAAAATACGCAGATGAAACTGAGGTCAGTAACCAGAGACTTTCATATGAAATAACTATCAAGTTCTGGGAATTGCACTATGTTGATAGTAAACTGTGACAAAAAAGACTTAGGTGTTCACACCAGTTTAGGGTTGTACAACTCAGTACTCAATATTTGAATCAGGTTGAAATTTGGCATATTTCTGAGTGGCTTATAAGAAGCATTTCTCTCTTGCATGTACAATGAGGAATATCATACAGATTCCCATTACCTCTAACAGGCCTTTGATTTTACAAACCTGGGGTAAAATGGAGGGAGTAGCATTTTTTTAACCACTGTATCTTGCTGCATTTTTTAAATAAAATTATATTATTTCTCATTTCATAAAATATTTTTTTCATCCTTTTAAAAATAAAACTGTAGTGAAAGCAATCCTGGTATTTTAAAGTATCAACCATGCTCCCTGCCTCATCGCAATCAGTGTTTCTGTGACTATAAATGCCATTTTGCAATATTTAAGTTATTTTCCTTATTTCCTTAAAGAGGAGAATGTGCAATGAAGCAGATCAGAATGAGTCAAGGTCCTTGTGGTATTTTAAAATGTTTTAAAATGTTTATTATACTTAGAAAAGTAACTAAGACTTGTATGCAAGAACTACTGTTCATATAGCTTCTGTGTGTGTATTATGGAGCTATTACAATGGTAATAAAATCCACTGATTTTTTTATATTCATAGAAAAGTTAGAGGTGGAAAGCCCTATTAGGTCATCTAGTCCATCTTTCTATTACAACAGGATTATGTTCTGTGGCATGTATGTGTTTTTAGCATTTTGCCCAACCTAATTGAAAAAACCTGAACAGTTAGGTTTCAGCTACTCTCTTAAGGAACCTGACAGATTTCATTGAGAAACATTCTTCCCAGAGAAGAGATAGGAGAAGATGAACAAAAGCTTATACATTTTCCATCATTTTATTTTGTCTTTTTAAACAAAGAAGAAGCTGTAGGAGATGGATGAATCTCTGAGTCCACTGAAGTCAGTGGCAAAACTCACATAGTCTTCATTACGGCCACACTTCCCTCCCCAGTGCCTGGTACTGTTCCCATAGACATCAGTGGGAGCTTCATGCAACCTTTCCCAGCAGTACATAAAATAACAAGAATTTATAGATTGAACTTCACTGTTGTAGTTTATTATGTTATGAAAAGTAGTTGGGGAAAATACGGCAACATGCGGCAAAAACAAAACCTGGCCAAGTCAACACTATTTAGATACATGCTAATATTGAAGCAAGTTAGGAAAAGTTCCACAAAAAAACCACGAAAAACCCAGACAAAATATTTTCTTCCATGTTTTTCTTTAGAGACTATAGGTTTGTAACCAAAATTCTTGGGGGTACAGTTGCAAAATGGAACATATTCTATAATCTACACTTTTCATTTTGGGTTGATAACTTTTCTTGACAAATTAATGATGTTGAAACACTGGCCTACCTTTATTTGACATTTAATCCCATGGAGACTATGATTGCTTGTTGCTTTGGGCCATTATCCCAAAGAGATGCAGATTTATCATTGTGGAATTCCATAAACTACTTATGAAAAACATGTGTATGCATTAGCTAGTAAAAGACTTGGGGACTTGCCCGCATAATGGGTGTGACACAGCACCAACACCTACACTGCCTGTCTGGTCACTTCTGCTGCTGTTCCCAACCTTTAAAATCTTTGATGGTCTAGGGCCCAGTTGTCATGATTCAGACACTGCAATATGTTCTCCTGGAGCACTGGTTAAGATCTGCTGGATTGCTCCCACTACTGGGTTCTAGGATGGTCTTCCATGGGACCTTTATCAGCTACCTCAGCTGCTCTTTGTAGACATTTGTCACAAAAAATCTGACTGTAGTGCATCCCCATTGCAGATGCCCAGTATAGTTACTTCTACTGCAGTGAGATGCCTAGTTACAGCAGCCAGAAGTGCCATGGAAATTTTTATATATAAGTGAACACATCCATTGGGAAAAACATGTTCATCAGCCTATATAAAGTATAAAATGCAGACCAAGGTTTGGAACTCAAGTAGCTAAATCAAAGCCTCATCACCTATTCTTTTTACTTGGCCATCTGATACCAGTCACAATTTTATGCAACAGACAAAACCGCACAGAGACCCAGGAAATTATCACTCAATACAATACATGCTAATGCACTTGATGCGATGCCCAAGGTACTCTCAGAGAACCATTGTCATACCCCTTCATTTTCATACCTCCTTCAACTTCCACACTGTAAATAACCATAACCCTTTTCCTAATGCCTCAGAACTAAGACTGTCTTTGCTGAGCTTCCTTTCTCAGCCCCCTACATATTTAGCAGCAGCAGGAAGTCAGTAAACAGGCTGAGTGCAGGAGGTCAGTGCTCCACCATAAATATGTTTAGCCACTAGCTTAGCTAAAATTGGATTTTAATGACTAAAACTGCATCAAGGAAATAGGGTAATAGAGAACTGCCAGAGCAGTTGTTTTTGGTGTAAATTATAAATATGTTCTACTTTACCCAAGTGACAGCCATGCCCTTGTTTCTGTGGAAGCAATGGTAATAGAAGTGTGTGTTTCCATTACTAAAAAGAGCTGAGGACAGGCCAAGGGGTGGAGTGCTTGGCATCTAATATGGTATTAAAGATCTTAGGGTTTGTTCTTCCTTTCACTGTACCACAGTCCACCCCTTGCACCATTGTAAAACAAACCAGCACCATTGCATTATATATTCGCTTTGCAATGGTGCACTACATGAAACAAGGGGCAGAGAAATGGAGAATCGGACTTCAGCAGTGTCAGTTATACTTCACAAGCTTATCTCTACAAAGGGAATGAGTGTAGTGATATAAATTAGTCAGCATGAGGGGCCGTGATATAAGGAGTGAAAATCAGCCCATCTCTGTCATTGTGAACTCCTACTTTTCTATAGTCAGATGCTACTGGAAGTGTGACTAAAATCATACCAACTGATGTTCCATATAAAACGGAGCAAGCGTACTTAATCTGATGTTATTTGATTTCAGTCATAAAAGAGGAAACTCACCAGAGCGAAATGCCTGAAGACTTGTGCAAGATAGGGCCAGAGCGATCCCTCGTGCTGGATAGACTAGCAAGTAACGTCGCCAAACGTAAGAGCTCTATGCCTCAGAAATTTGTTGGTAAGAGTTAAACGTTTGCTGTCTCCTAAAAAAAAGCCTGATAGGGTTTTCCATCTTGCTTTATGATTTGCTATGATTACATTAATGGGATATAAGTCGGTAGGGTCAAGTGTAAGGATACACTCGAAATGGACAATTCCCCAGCTAGCCATTTTGGCATGTGTAACCTGTCAGTGTAAAATGTCCAGTAGGGTTTTGATACATTTGTTTTGAGCCTTTATGCCTTTTCTTACTGTTCTTAGCTCAGGTCTTTATTATTATTATTCTAGGAATAGGAGGCCTCTGTTTAGGAGCTTTGTTAACTTAAAATTGGATGCAGAGCCCTGCTTTTTGCTAGATGTGAGGTTATGTGTGTGCAGATGAATGTGCAGTGTTAATAATCTTTCACTGCTGCAGAAGGGCTGCATGCTTGCCTGATCCATTCTTGGATGAGCCTGGAGATAGGTGTTCAGGTGTCTGATGAGGACAGTAAAAGTACAACCAAGATGGTTATGGACAACCATCTGCATTCAGACTGAAAGTAACTCTTACTCCCCAGTTGCCAGAATATGCTTCCTTCCTTTATTAAAAGACATTTTCTTGCTTCAGTGACTGAGACTGGAAGTTGTGTCCATTTTGTTTTTCCCTTTGGTATTCTGTCTTCAGTGTAGCAATGGTGTAGCAAAATCAAATGTTATGTCAAGACGACAGACTTGCTGTGCCACTAAGTAGGAACATTCAACATGCTGCATTACTTTTCAGCAATAGCCATATACACACAGCAGTGACAGAGCTAATTAGCTTCACTTCAGCACTGTTGAGCATGCCTGCAGCACCTACCAAACACAGATACCCCACTTCCAGTTTAGGCAGAAACCCACACAGACAGTGAGGTGTACTTGAAGCACCACAACCCAACACAGTAAGTTTGTCACATAGATGTGACTAAAGGAAATTAAATAACACAGATAAAAATGGAATTGCTCTTTAGAATTGGATTTAAAAGCTCAAAAACGTGGAAGCCAAAGAAAAACTTGAACTCTGGTTATCTAGATAGGTGCTAGAATATTCTGACTCCATCTAGTTTTATAGCAGCTCCTGAAGGAGAGAATTAACTTTTAAGGAGAGGGAGCAGATATAACAGACCGGGTTAGGGAGAGAGATTCCACGTTGTGGCAGGACACAAAGTGGGCAGGTGCACACAGGTACACCATAGTCTTCATCTGTGTCCTGTGCTAACTATGCTAGAGAAGGGTTCTCCTGGAGAAGAAAGAGAGGGTCAGCTAAGAGCCCTGGGAGATGTTGACAGAGAGGAACTGCAGAAGTAATCTGAAGTAGCAGAGAAGTGAGGAGACCATAGAGCCTCTAAACCATAGGGCCTAGGAAGAGAGTATGATTGGTCTTATTTATTATTGCAGAAAAAAACAAAAGTAAAAGGATACACAAGAGTCTTTTGTCATTTGTTCAGGGAAAGACCATTGGGAAGTTTCAGTAGCACTGAGATGTCTGAGCTCAACTGCAGTTGATCAAAGGTGTGACCAAGCAGCAGGAGTAGAAATAATTCTGGAAGAGAACAGGGGTCGATAAAGGAGGGCTACAGGGAGAGATGTGGTTGGTTATCTAGCTCTTATAAAGTACTTTGCACGGATTGTCTGAGGGCTGGTGCATGAGCCAGAAAAGGGAGGCTAAGATACAGAGCATGGAGGATGGTTCAATAAGGGAGAGAGCAAAGGAAGTTAGAGTTTGGGAAGGAAAAGGGTCAAGAGGGCAGCCGGAGGGGCCATGGGATGAGATTAGTGCATGGAGGCAATTCTGCAGAAGGCTCTGGACTGAATTTGATTTTACACTTTTTACACAAGGAAAAAATATTGGTCCTGTAAAGGCACCAGGACATTTTTAAAGGACACTAAGACATTTTCTTCTTGTGCGGGTGGGGGGTGGATTCATTTTTTTGTCCTCCTTACCATTCTCATGCTGACAAACAATAGTGAAAGCTGCTCAGATTGGAGACTCAGGAGGCAGCAGTTTTCTGCAGTTATTCAGGGTATGGTGTAAGAAGGCATGCTAGTGACAGCAAATCTTCATGGAGGTTTTGTTGATCTTCTAAAGATTGGACACCACCAACAAAGAGCAGCATTAAACACTTCCAAATTGCCTTCCTCCCTGTTCTCTGCAGTCATCACTCTTCTTCTTACAAGTGGTCCTGAGTCCAAGTGTGGCCCGCTTGCCTGGATCCCTTTACTGTAACAGGAGAATAAAGGTTGAAGTAAAGGGCTGTTTCACCATTGTTGAAATAAGTCCCCTTCTCTCCCTTCTGGCACCTAAAAATGAACATAATAGTGCTATAATTTGACTACTTAAAAAGACACAAGGCCCAATTTTCCTTACATATCTTGACTTTAGTCAGTGTAGATTCATTGAGAGACTTTGAAAGAGGGGAGATATGAGACCAGAAGAGTCCTGGTTAGTAATACCATAGGAAGTACAGGTTTTCATTAAACCAGGCCCACCAAGTATAGACCTCAGGGCTAGATAGGAAACAAGAAGCACCAATGACTATTGCAAAGAACACAGCGTTATACTTTCCTTATAGGCCCTTTGGATTAAGTTTCAGGCCAGTGCTGAATTCAAAGGAGAAGGTACAATGGTAACACCCATACTGCACAGGCAGCACACTCTTCTCAAGAGTAGATTTGTTACTTCCCAGACTGAACTCATTTACCAGGCAGAGCTATTTAGCTGTACAACTCTTTGACAGCAGTTGAGCAGTGGCAATGCTAGCATGTGACATCGTTCTTTGCAAGAGGAACAGATCCCAGGTCTAAGAGCAGAAATGGGCCTCCCAAACTGAAGGCCAGACAGGTTGGCCAGTAACAGGTCAGACAGAAACATGTCTAATATGTTTAACATCACCCAGCAAAACCTATCAGAATTAAACTACTAGCTGTTTGTAAGCCTTTCATTACAGGTACCCTGAAACCCTTCAGAGCTTCCAAAATGTTTCAGGCTGTTAGCTGTTTGACTGACTTATGCTTTGATAACCACAAAATGAGCTATTCTTTTTAACAAGCACAAGCAGTATCTGCATGGCCCAGATGTAAAAACGATACCTGCCTACCTTACGTTTGTGTGTGTTTGAGACACCCTTGTACTGCAACAAATTTTCCTTAAGAGGATTGATTACTTCTGTCAGCTGTAGTCTAGTTACACTGTCTAAAGGAAATATTGACCAATAAGCAGCTTCTAAAATCATGTTCCCCCTAATTTTTCATGTATTAAGCAAGCCCAGGTTCTGCTATCAGCCTCTTAGTGATGTACAGTGCATATAGACCATGGCTAGTGGATACGTAAACCCAAATGCCTTAGTCTTGTGATTTTCTGCATGAAGTGTATAAATTCTTATTAAAAATGCAGTGAAACTTGTAGTAAGTCAGACACTTGGACAGAGTCTGTTTTGAATTACTAGCACTCTACATTTCAAAACTGGGGGATTAAAACAGTGCATCTAATAAAAACTCTACCAGAGATGAGGCTGAGCTAGTGTGGTCAGAGAAAAGGGAGGGGGATGCAGAAGGAAACAGAAGCACATGATATATCCATTTTTTGCAGGTGTCTGTGCTGTGCTCCTCTAATGGAAATTCAGCCAGGCAGTAATGTAGCTGAAAGCGGTGCTAGTTCCTCTTCTGTGCCAAATACTGTCCTGACTTTGGATTGGTACTCAAGTAGTGACAATCAGATTTTTTAGATCAACAGAAAACTGTCAGCCTTCAAACCTTATAGATTCATAGATTCATAGATTAAGGGTCGGAAGGGACCTAGTAGATCTTCTAGCCCGACCCCCCGCCGGGGCGGGAGAACAACAAAAAACCCCAAAAAGAGAACTGGGTACCTTCTCCTGTACTCTTTATCATTGGACCTTGAATTGAAAAAAACCCAGAAAAATTATATAAATTACAATAAAGTCCCAGGCTATGAGATGGCACTTCACCCATCCAAAACACCAGCTCCCCCAGGGAGAGGATGTCTCCTATTCCATCTTTCACAGTATTTGCCTTTTCACATTTTGGGAGTGCCTCTGTGTGACTGATCACATGGTGAGAGACCTGAGCAGCAACTGGAGAGCTTCATCACCCTATGAGGCTCCTTTGAATGCAGGAGTCAATGCATAGGGGCTGCATAGGGTCACACCCCAGTGCTAGAGTAGTGGAGGGAGGAGTTAGGTTTTCAGGGAAGGCAGGGGTCCAGGTAGAGTTGGATGAGCACCATGACTTACCTCTTGCAGGATTTAATGCAAAGGGTTTCTAGGCTGTATGCCAACATCTTCACTGAGTTTGGAAACCCTTCTCATTTGAGTAAAGCCCTGCTGCATTTGCAACAGCCCAGGAGGGAAGTTTCTGCCAAGTTCCTCTTGCAGAGTTTGCACCAGACACTTTGTCCTCAGTTAGCCCTCATGTCATGGAATCTTTGGGGATACCTGCAACCATTGATCCCCCAAGCTCTGCCCAAACCCATCCAAAAACCAGTGTATGGCACCCTAAGCAATACTGTCTGGAAAGCTGAAGAAAGTTCTCTCCGCTTTATGATCCCCAGAGATCCTTTATGGGACTGGTCATAACACAGATGTATTAGAAATACTATGAGGAGCCTATTTGTAATTCAAGGCTGCCTGTAAACTGAACACACTTCAACAACATGAGCAATAGCACAGCATAATGCGTTGATGTATTTTAAATCACCAGCCACATGTTTAAACAGTTCCTCTAATTCCCAGGCCTTATGGTTTATTTTTAAACTTACTCTTTTTTGACCCAGTTTTTCAGAAGTGACCAGTAATAGTAGTCATAGCAATTTTGGGGGGTCCAACCAAAGCATGCATTAAAGGAGCCTGATTTTCAGGAGTGCTGAATTCCTTCTTTTAGATGGGAAGTTTGACTCGTAAACTAGGCACTTGCAGAAGTTTTGGCACACAGCAACTTGGTGCTTATGTCTGTTCATAGCCATAAGTTAATCTTCTAACAATTTATATATGTACAGCTGTACTTTTCCTAGTGGACCCTACTGCATACATGCAAGCTTGCATCTAGGTTTGATCGGCAGATACAACAGTTCAGCTAGCTTTAAACACTATTTGTTATGCTTCGTGATCCCACTCTGTTCTATGGGCCAGGGTCCCTTGAGGGACTATGTCTCATAAGACATACCCCAACCATGCAACTGCAGTGCCGCACTGCCTTTATTCACCAGGCTCAAAGCCCAATGTGCAGCAAGGAAGATGAAATTCAACCAGGGAACCCAGTCTGTAGAGAAGGGAAGTGCAAGGCACCCAAACTGCAGCTCCCAGGTGGGAGCGCACACTTGTTCAGAACAAAAATAGTCTGGTTTTCAGCCACAATATTTCAGGTTTCAGTTTTTTGCCCAATGCTCTGAGTTTTCCACAAGAAAAGCCCCATTTTCTGATCCACTGTAGCATAGCATACTACTGCAGGAACTGTGAATGCCATTTCAGTTTCAGACACTGGTTTGTACCCTGCAGCTTTTTTTGGTTTCATTGATGCAGAAAGTTCAGTTGTTTAGCCGCATTGCCTTCCCAACATCTAATCCCTGCCTGTTTTCAAACACAGGTGAGAAGTGTCTGTCTGACCTTCCCTATGATGCCACCACCAATTACGAGAAGGAGAATGAGATGATGCAGACTCATGTTATAGACCAGGCCATTAACAATGCCATTAGCTACCTAGGAGCAGAGTCTTTGCGCCCACTTGTGCAGACACCACCAGGCAGCTCTGAAGTTGTGCCCGTCATCAGCTCTATGTATCAACTCCACAAGCCCCTTGGGGACAATCAGGCTCGTTCCAACCATACAGCTCAAGACAGCGCAGTAGAAAACTTGTTGTTGCTTTCCAAAGCAAAATCTATCTCTTCTGAAAGGGATGCCTCCCCCAGCAACAGCTGCCAAGACTCAACAGACACCGAGAGCAATAATGATGAACGTAGTGGTTTAATTTACCTGACGAATCACATAGGTCCTCATGCCAGAAACGGCTTATCTATCAAGGAGGAGCAGAGGCAATATGACATCCTGAGGGCAGGTACTGACAATTCCCAGGATGGGTTCAAAGTGATCAGCAGCAGCGGGGAACAAGTGAAAGTTTACAAGTGTGAACACTGTAGAGTCCTTTTCTTGGATCATGTCATGTACACCATCCATATGGGCTGTCACGGCTTCCGCGATCCCTTCGAATGCAACATGTGTGGCTACCACAGCCAGGACAGGTATGAGTTCTCTTCCCACATAACCCGTGGGGAGCACCGTTTCCACATGAGTTAAAACTCCCCCTGGACAGATACAGCCTTGACAGACATATTCCTGGAGACGTGTGAGCAACACAAGTGCAAGGCACAAATCTATTGGACAGTAACAGCAAATGAGACCTGCCCCCCCAGCAACTTCACACCTCTCAGTAGCATGCATCAAAACTCAGTTTTATAAAATGAGTATTGACGTTTTTATTTCAATTCTTTGGATCACCAAAAAACCCTTAGTAATGTAAGTAGGCGCTTTTTATAGTCAGGTAGCTGAAGCCCTTTCCCTTTAACTGTTGCTTCTTGCAAACGTCCCTTGCCAAAACAGCTAACCTTGTGCACAGTGCACAGAAATCTAGATGAGAGCTAGAATTGGCTTAACTCTTTCAGTGTTACTGTGCTAGATAGTAAGAATAGGGTTCTTGCTACAGCAAATATGGATTTTTTTGATTTCCCACTATTATTTGGCTCACTGGGAAGAGTTCAGTAGGGGCCCAGCCAGGCTTATAGCGTGGCACCAGTGATACTCTAGAATAGGTTGAGGGTGAAATCTGAGTTCATAGGGTATTGCTACTGTAGCAGCATTGTAAAATAAGACAGCATACCTGCTAAGGTGTGTATTATATTGCCTTGTTTATATTCTGAGGCACAAGACCAGGTGTTGCAAGGATGTGAGAAATGCCCTTGTAATACACCCCCTGGAGTGGGAGCTGCATCTGTGCATAGCAAGGGGTTTTGTTGCCTTTTAAAAATTAATGTTGCCCCTCCCTATCCAACAAAAACCTCGCTTTTCCTTAACAACATAAAGATTAGAAACCTCTCTGCATAACAAACAAGGACAATTTATGGGAATTTTTTTAAAGTACGTTTTAATTATTTTTTTTAAAGTACAGGATAGCAGGAGAGAGAACTAACTAGAAAAAGGTTTGGAGACTAGTTTTTTATGAAACTTTCATTTTGAGGGCAGCATTTTTACAACTGGCTGGAAGAATCTCTGCCTATACCTGTTTTGCATATGAAAAATGCCTATTCTGTTTGCAGTGAGTCTTGTAAAAGTTATGGGTTGTACTAGGGAAATTTTGCCCCAACACTTTTTTTACAGGGGTACAATGAATTAAGCCATTCCAAAATGAGTGGCCCTCTCCCTTTTCACTGAAACTAACTATTCAATAAGGGCCGTATCCCCTAACCCTCTTCCAGAACCATGCCTCAGTATGTGCCTAACTAAGCATGGGAGGAGGCCACCTTAACGCAAGTGGACTCCTCTGATTTTTGAGTTAGTAGGTGTGTAGGCACTCTGAGAGGGCAGAGTATTTATCAGGATCAAGAACTGCAAAATCCAACTCATAGAATCCCTTGGCAAGCTTTCCCCAAATCAGAATTTCAGTTGTGTTAACATGAAAATCCATATATAAAGAACAAAGATACTGTCCTGTCTCCCCCCCTCCCCATAGTTCCTCTTCCAAATAATGCATTCCTCTCCCCTGGTTTTAAGATTGGGCAACTGTGAGATGTATGCAATTGGGCTGAGAATCTCATCAGAGCTGGAATATTTCCTCACTAAACAACATCATGTAAACAACAAAACCGTATTTTAAAAGGCTTGCAATACACTTATGCCTGTTTCCTCCCTCTCTACACACATAAAAACATGCATGGACACAAATTCAAATTGGAACTGAGTCTCTCTCTCCACCAAGGATAAATTGATCCAAGCATATATACATCCGCTCTATAAACACACTGTTCCTTGTTCTGCCTTTGCTTATGCAGGTGTAAATTAGGAGCAACTCCACTGAAACTTCTGGAGATTAAACTCAAGACATGCACTTCACACTTCATCCTTCCTAGTTCAGTACCCAGCATATGTTCATCTGATATTCACATTGTAAAAGGCAGGCTCCATGGATAGTGATAGATACATATTCACATTGTTTCAGTGTACAAGAATGCAGTGTAGAAACCTACGCACACCTACACTGTTGGGGAAAAAATGCTAATATCTGTCATACTGCAGAAAAGATATCAAAAAAGAGATAGTAGTACAGACAATATCCCCAGCTGTGATCACTGTACTAGTATAATTGCACTGACTGAAGAGCTATGCCTGGGTAGAGAATGGCCCTGTATATCAGAGATTTCCCAAAACTTTTGAGTCTAATCAGAGATTTCCTCACTGAGCCTGTTTTTGACAAACTCAATGAGAGTGAAACAATATAGTTCAACCAGCCTTATAGGAAAGTTCTGATATAAAACTAAAAGGGAGGACAGAAATAAGTTACACTAATATGATTAATTAAGAGTCTATGCTCTTTTTCTTTTTTAAACCCCCAGATTTTGACAGGATCTCATTCACCTGTCCTTTCCCTTTACACTTTCTATACCTCTCAGAACCTGGGCCATTTCACAGGCGACAGAATTACGTCTGTGCCTAACATCTTGCCCCTAACAATACAGGTAGTTGAATAAAAGATAACAACAAAAAAAATCTTTGTCCCTACAGGATTACTTCAAGTTTAGCTTTTGCAACAACCCCCTTTTGCCAGCCTTTTTTATTTCTTTCATTCAAAACAGCTCAGGCAGTAAGCATAGTAGTTCATTTTGGGTCATTTCTTTACTAACATGCAGTATGAGTAAAGCTTGATTTGTTACTGGGATAAGCAGGCACAAGTCTGTGTCGAATTTGGCCTTCCACATGCTTGTAAAAGTTCTGTGATTTCTGGCTTATGAAAAGATTTCTCTGCTTTTGTATTTCTTATGTGTGTGAGCTTGTCACCTTTTCATATGGACATGCACATGCAGCTGTTGCTGGTTGTGTGTTTTATATAATACAACAATATCAATCACAGCGAAGGTGTTTCTTGGCCTCTCCGATTTCCCTATTTATATTCTACAATAAATAACACAGGTTGTATGTCAAGATACAGTGTATCAGAGGGAGTAGTCTAAAAGCAGGAGCAACAGCTTCTAGAAGGGGCTTTGGGTTTCATACTTCTTGCACAGAATCAGCCTCTGTTTGGAAATAAATATATTGATAATTTTATTTATTGGGATAAACACGGGTGTGAAAAAAAACCTGCGTAGTAGGAGACCCTCTGTGTCTGAGAACAAATTGTGCCCTTAGAAAACCAATTGAGTGTAATCGCTCTGAAATACCACCCAGTAATGGTTTACTGCTACCCAAAAAAGAGTGAACAAGTGGAATGGCTTTAAGTTGGGAACTGTTAAAAGAAAAATGTAAATAACATTAAGAACTGCTTTCCAGATTCTCTTTCAACCCTTTCCCCTGAAACTGCCTTTTATATTCGATATATAGAAAAGTGTATTTACACCTTTTTTTGCTGTGATTTTTATATTGTAACCCCATTTTTGTTTGAGACCATTGTATTTAAAAAAATCAAGTAAATTTCATAAGTTTTGAAGTGTAATTAAATGATGTCTGCAGAGTTAGACATATCTTGTAAGAAAGAACTTGGTAAAATTCTTCCCTGGATGCTGGATGGCAATGCGCACAGAGCAAATCCTTTTGTGCATGCGTGCCTCATTGCAGGCAAGTGTGACTGCATGTAGGACTGTGTGCACCTCTCTCAAAGCAGTTGGGTGGGGGAGAGAGAACAGGAGCATGAAATACAGTTTTTTTGACAAGTGGCCTGATTCTGTTCTTGCACACACAAGTACGAATCAGGAACCATATAGAAGTCAATGGATTGAAACCAACGTAAAACCCAGTGGGAAAGCAGAAGCCTTCACACAGCCTTTATATCATGCAGGTCTGATTTTCAGCAACATTGCCAGTGCCTTGTGCCACATCTTTTTGCTATGAAGCCAATGAAAATGTCCTAGGGTGAGCCACTCTGGTGCATGGGAGATTCTTCTCTTGTGGGCAGCCTACTCAAGGAACTTTGTGGCTTTTACAAGCTAGGCGAACTAAGGGAGCCCCCAGTCTTCTCAACTAAAGTGCAAAGACAATATGACACATGCACCATCAGCAGGCTCAAGGCCTCACAGCTGAGTATTAAGCCTACTATGTACTAAGCTGCCGACTTCCATGCTGCATTTAGGTGCTGTATAAGAGTCTGGCCCTGAAATCACTGTGCTAGTGCCCATTCCTTGACTGACTTGATTTAACTTCTCTCTGTCTTTGTGTCTTCAGCCCTCTCTTCTCATTCTCTCTTTCCACCGACAAGAGTAGGGCTTAAGAGAACACAATTGTCCTGCCTGAAGAGGGTCATAGTTTTTAGGAGCACATTGCCCTGGAAATTATATCCATTATTATTTACTGTCACAGCAATTTCTCCCCAGACCTTTCTAATGAGCAGAGTTCCCATCAAAAACCAACACTCTCTGTTAAGGCTTTGATACCATCTATGGTAAACAGAAATCAGATTTTGTTTAGATAAGGCACATTTGTTGAGTTCATGACTATCTTATCTTCTACACCTATTTATTTGTGAGTAAAATGCAATGAAGGACAAAATGTTTGAGACCATCTTACACAGTGGTTTGCAATTTATGAGTACCTCAAATCCTTGTTTGGTCAAAGGGACCCAATGATATTGCTAATTATAAAAGCAAAGCTCTAGGTGCACTTTAAGAGAAGCTCTTGCATTTTTCTTTCTTTTTTCCTTTCTTTGTAATGTAGCTCATGTCAAACAAAATGACTTACATGACAGTTTTAAATTTCAGTAATCAGCACTCAGGAAAATTAACATTGGCAGTTTTATCTAATACCACTCACATATTGTGATCCAAATGTGATAGTGTTAGTAACACTGAATACATCCTTAAATTCAAGCAAAGACCCTCATTGCACTTATACTCATAGACTCAACAACAGTTTGTGTGGCTAAAAACTGTGTGAGAGCCTTGAGGCCCTTGCACATCCAACATGTTTCAATGACTTTCTCTTGTGGTAGTTTTTATGGTTTTTCATAAGCCAATGTTATAATCTAATTAATTTTGATCAGATGCTGTTGAAGATTGACAGACCCCCCCCCTTTTTGTAGAAGTGCTAAATAAATTCAAAAGTGTAAGTAACGCTGGTCATTATTTCAACTTTCAGTATCTCAAATACACACTGAGACACTCAAATCCACATTTAGGAATTTAAAAGTTAATAGGTATTTTTACAAGTGCTCAGCAGTCATCCATCCCGTTTCAGTCAAAACTAGAACAAAGGAAATCCCAATGTTTGAGACCTGAAGAACATATTGCATTGAAAAGCTTGTCTAAGTCTATCCCAACCATGCAGTTGGTCCAATAAAGATACCACCCACAAAAAACTTTGCCTCTCGCATATTTGAAAACCTGGCAACTTTTATCTAGTAATGAAAATCAGGGTATAGAAGCCTAACTTCAGGCACCTGGGTCTGATAATGTGACACTGCTACTTTTTTTGATTATGAAAAATACCAATACATTTTCAGCTTTATCAGATCTATTCCTGATTTCTTCTATAGGCTTCTATTAGGGACATAGAACTGGAAACTGTAAAAAGCCTCCTGGACCATCAAGGACCTGTCTTTGGAAGACAGCTGGTCAGGAAATGGGAGGGCTTGTGGGGGTGGGAGGGAAGCTGCCACCGTCTTCAAAACACGGACAGAAAATTTGAAGAGTGAAAAATACTCTGGCTGAAACTCAAAATGTAGTGAAACTGCAGTGCTGCTGCATTGCTTCATGGGAGTCACAGTTCTATTGCCTCATCACCCCTTATGGGCAAATCTTCATAGTCAGACTCTACATCCCATGATGCACCATACTCTCCTCAGTTAAATGCGCAAGGTGCATCATAGCAGATAAAGTCCAGCCGAGAAAGGAGTGCAATGGAAGTCTTCTCACCCTAACCAAAACATAGAAATAAGTTGCATCACCATCTGGTGTGCCAAATAGTGTAACTGAAGTACAGAAAGCTCAGGTTTTAGTTTTCCTAATCCAATGGGCTTTATTCTTAATACTAGAGGCTTTAGGGACACAATACAAAACAACCGGACTTTATTTTTTAAGAGCTGCAAAGGAGCCCCAACCATACTTAAAACCAGTGAGAGTGACAGATCCTTAGCACTTCTTAAAACTCGGCCTGAGGTCATCTGAAGTTGGGCAAGCAAAAATTGAGACTGCCACCAAATTTAAAAAAGAAAAAAAGACACTTTCCTTTTTGGAAAATCCAAGGCCAGAAGAAGAGAGTCACTTGCAAAGTGGAGTTTAAAATGCCCAGGCTAGAAGTGCCCAGGCCTTACTGCAAGAGTTCAATGTTGTGGTCCTTGGTTGAACAGAATGTGTATTTGCAAAAAAGTGCCATCAGCGTTGTTGAATTAAGGATTATAGCATTAAGCCTTACATATATATATATATATATATATA